TGCTGAACTTTATTGTTTTGATTAGATTTTCCATGTAGTCTTTGGTATTCTCTATGTATACTTTAAAAATATAAAAGAAGGAATGTTTCCTAATACATTTTATGATAACACTACTCTATGACTATAACCATAAAACACAAGAAAATTATAGACCAATATCCCTGATGAACATCAATGCAAAAATTTTCAGTAAAATAATAGCAAGTGAATTCAACACTATGTGACAAGGATATACAGCTTGATCAGGTGGGATTCATGCCAGGGATAGAAGGAACATTATTCAATATAATAAAGACTATATACCATGATTTCACAGTTAATATCATACTCAATGGTGAAAACTGAAAGCTCTTCTTTTAAAATCAGGTGAAATACATGTACACCCACTCACACCAGTATGATTCAACATATCAATAGTATTAGAAGTCCTAGCTGAGAAATAAACCATGAAAAGAAATAAAAGGAATGTACATTGTATAAGAAGTAAAACTATCAATAATTAAAGATGACATGATAATATGTATAGAAAATCCTAATGACTCCTCTAAGAAATTATTAGATACAGTTAGTAAACTAAAGTGTCAGGGTATAAAATAAGTATACAAAAGTCTGTTGTATTCCTATATGCAAACAATGTATCAGAAGAGAAAGAAATAAAGAAAATAGTTCCATTTATAAATCACAGTAAAAAGAAATAAGTACCTAGGAATTAAAGGAGATAACCATAATATAATATTAAAAGAAGTGATAGAAGACACTGGAAATGGAAATATATTCCATGCTCATAAACTGAAGAATTAACAATGTTAACACAACCCATTTACCTAAACAATAAGCAGATTTAATCCAATCCCTATCAAGATGTAATAGCTTTCTTCAAGGAAATAGGTCAAATATTGCTGAAGCTTATATGGAACCACAAAAGACCCTGAATCATCAAAAAAAAAAATGACAAAAAAAAAAGAAACAGATGTATTACATTTCCAGATTTTTGAATTATGCTACAAAGTAACTGTAATCAAAAGAGTGTGAGAGTGGAGTAAGACCCGCCAGAAATCCATGGGATGAAAACGAAAGTCCAGAAATACACCCAAACTTATATGAACAGTTAATTTGCAACAAAGGTTGAAGAACACACAATGGAGAAAGGAAACTCTATTAAAATAGTGTTGGAAAAACTGAATAGCCACATGCAAAAGAATGAAACTAGATCATTGTCTCATATCATACACAGATTTATTCATACTTCTCAACATTCAAAGACATGGCCGTAAGACCAAACACTGTCATTACAGAGGGAAAATATTGGTAGAGCACTCCTGGATATAAGCATCAGTAATGTCTTTGGGGAGAGGACTCTAACAGCCAGTAGGGGGGAAAAAATAAACAAATGGAGCTAAATCAAATTAAAATGTTTCTACACAGCAAAAGAAACTATCATTAAAACAAAGATAACCTATCAAATAGGAAAAATTATTTGCACATCATATATGAAACCAGGGGCTCAGATCCAAAATCTATAAAGAATTCATACTACATGACAAAATAACCCAATCAAAAAATGGGCAGCAGAGCTAAATGGACACTTCTCCCAAAGCATGTTGATGACCAATAAGCACATGAAAATATGCCCATCCCACTTATCAGGGAAATGCAAATCAAAACCACAGTGAGAGACTGCCTCATATCTGTAAGAATAACCTGTATCAAAAAGACCAGTAACTAAATATAGGTGAGGCTATTATCAAAAAGAATGCAAATAAGTGTTGGTGAGAATGTGCAGAAAAGTGAATTCTTGTACACTGTTGGTGGGAATAAATTGGTGCAATCACTCAGAAAATAGTATCATTTCCTCAAAAAATTAAAAATAGAACTATCATATAAGCAGCAATCCCACTTCTGGGTGTATATGCCAAGGTAAGGAACCCATTATCTTGAAGAGATATCTACATCCCCAAACTCACTGTAGTATTTTCTGCAATAAACAAGATGTGTTGAAGGCAATTTTAATAGGACAATTTCATGCATTTGTGTTTGGTTGTGGAAGTAATAGTTTCCTATTACAATGTTCGTTACAGGTAACAGCATTCCAAAGCTGTTAAGAAAGTCATTGTCATACAAGATAAAGGAAGTGGAATTTTTCTAAAATAACAAGAAAATAAAGCTTTAAAATGAAATGATCCTGACATTTACTAAAGCCTGTTAATACTGAAGGATTATCAGTTACATGCCAATTGCACTGATGTGGCTATCAGTCAACAAAAACCAAGAACTTACACAAGGAAACTCAGAAAAACACATAAATGCCCTTGACTACAGGCCACTCCAGTCAAAGGCCAAGGTCTGGGGACCACATCTTCCACGTGCCCATCTGCTTGGGGCTGCTTTATCTGCTCAGAGCAGTAACAGTACCATCAGGAAGAGCAAGGCACTTCCAGGTTCCTTGAATTTTTGCTGCATAGTAGTTAATTTGGTTGGGAGAAGCACAGCTGAAAAGCATACTAATGATATAAAGTAATAATGAGTTTCTCTCCAAACAAAGAATAGATGTTTACAATGCTTTAAACATAAAATTGACAAGGAATGTTGACCCAAAGCATTGGGAAAGTATATTAGTTATTTTTTGCTGTATAAATAGATTATAGCTGACCCTTGAACACTGGGGTTTTAGGAGCACAAACCCCAAACCCAAACCCTTGCTCACTGAAAAATCTGTTTATAACTGAGTGCAAAAAAAAATGTTTACCAAAAGTCTGTTGACCAGAAATCTTACCAATAACATACAGTTGACTAACACATATTTTGTATGTTATATATTATACCGTATCCTTTCAATAAAATAATCTAGGGAAAATCATAAGGAATAGGGAACACATTTATAATACTGTACTGTTTATTGTGACCCTTGAGTTTACATTTTTAATAGGGAAATATAAATGAAACTGCACAGTTCACATCTTTATTGTTCAAGAGTCAACTGTATACCAAAACTTAGTGGCTTACAATAAACATAATCTCATTTATTATGGCTTGAGAATTTGAGAGCAGCTAGCTGGGTAGTTCTAGCTTGGGGTCTTCTTTTGGGCCACTGCCAGATGTTGAGGGTTTGACAGGGGCCAGAGGGCCTGCTTTTGAGGTGGCTGACAGCTCACACACCTGGGAAACTGGTGCCAAATGCTGGCAGAAGTCCTCAGTGCTTTCCTGCTTAGCCTCTGAAGGTCTAGTTAAATGTCCTCCAGAGACTGGCTCCCTAGAGAGGAGAAGTCCCAGACAGCTCAGCATGAGGCTCAAATGTCTGTTATGACCTGGCTTCAAAAGTCACACATGTTCATTGCTGCAAAAACTATTGTTACAGCAATAGTTCAAACTGGGAGGGGAGCCCTGTAAATTGTGGCTGCCAGGAGGCCTAGAGCCCTGTCTTTGAAAAATCTGGAACTCTCCTGGAAAAAATGTGGCATTCTGCATTCTGTTCCCAGTCACTGGCAATTTGAAGATACATGGGATATGCAGGGGCTTTATATAGGGATGGTCAGCCACAAGGCAGGAGACTCACACTTTTCTGGAAAGTGCTATCCTATCTCTAGCAGCCAGCTTCTAAGATGGCCCTTGGTGACAATTTTATATTGTTTCACAAATATATACTCAAAACAGATGATATAGACAGACGTATGAGAACATCATATGGGAAGAGATGAGATTACAAATGAATAGGGTACTTTTCTCTCTCTCATTACCTATTGCTTCTCTGATTAGTTGGCCATTTGGAACAACAAAAACCCCACAAAAGATAAAGCCACATCCCCAGTCTACCTCATACCTTGTAGTACAACTAATTGTAGGAGATTAAATACCATACTCTAAAAATTCATAGATTACTAGAAAAAAAGAATGTATTTAAAAATCTGAAACGAACTTGGATTCTTATATCACATGATGCACCAAGCTTAATTCCAATTGGGTATAAATAAGATTTAAATGTAAAAAACAAAGCTATTAAGTGTTGAAAGGAGATGCTAGTGACTTTCTCTGTAGAAGTGCAAAGGTATGGCTGGATAGTTATAACTCAACACAAAAGCCACACAACAAAAAGAATAAGTTAAACTAAATACATATTTTTAAAAACTCCTGCAAAGCAAAAACAAACAAAAAATAAACCAACTACCTAGGGACAAACATGAAAGATTCCTTAATGGTTTTTATATAAAAATTTTTAAAATATATAGCTAAAGAAAGATTTCCATGTTTTGGAGAGCTCCATTTCTGGCAAAAATTGAGGAAAAAAGGAGCCATAAGAAGCTGTAGAAGAAACTAATATGTTCATTTTGGAGGTGGCTGGGTGAGGGTGGCAGGCATCACTGTACACTTGTGTATACTTTTCTACTTTGAAACTATGGGGAGGTGTTCCCTATCTACAGGTGAAAAGGGAACACAAGGGAAACTACTTGTCTGATGAAGAAAGCGAGGCAGGGTAGAGACTCAGGGTGTGGCCCAGGACCTGCTGGCTAGAGAGAGTGGTTGAGGGGGCCCCAAAATGTGGGATTATGAGGTCAGGTTTTGAACGTCACCTGGGGATCCTTACCTAATTCTGCACATTGCTTTTTATTTAGAAACTGGAGGGGGGCATCACAGGGTTTCTCTCTGAGACTGTGGTCTCCCTGAAGGGGCTGGGGGAGGAGGTGGGAGTGCTTATGGCTGGGTAGCAGGATCCAGGTTGATGTGCTGGGACAGTGCATTGGGCTTGGGGTGGGGGCTGAGGTGTGGGGTCCCTGAGCTCAGGGCACAGCCTGTAAGGGTGGGCAGGGGGCTCTAGACAAGGAGAGTCACGTAACAACTCATGTTTAGGACGAGAAGATCCCTGGGTGCCAGCTCTACAGGAGCCCAGGTGGGAATTTGGTCACAGCTTCTTACCAGCACCAGGCAGTTAAGGCCTCTCCTGCCCCAGTTGCCTGGAGCTCCCCTTCTCACCTAAATGTGCCCCCCACCATTGAACCCTCACTTACCTGTGCTCCAGGCTCCATGCTGCTTTCCTGAGGGGTCCACTGCAGCGTCTAGCCAGCCCGGGTTCCCTGAAGCACTGGCAGTTTCCGCCACAATGGGCCCAGGTGGGCGTGCAGGAGCCCACCTGTATCCAATAGCCACCTGATAGCCTGTGTAAGTGCAGAGTGGAGCATGCGCACTGGGCAGGTCCATGAGCCCTCAGGGTCTGCACGTGGCTGGTTCCTTGTGTATACCTGAGTGTGCATTTCCATGGCTTTTAGGAAATCAGATCTGCCAGATGGCTGTGGACTCCCAAACAACTTGCCATCTGTGGTGCACTGTGTCAAATACTTTATACACATTATCACAGCAACCTAAAGGAGTGGAGATCATCACCCCAACTTAGTTTGTGTGTCAACAGTCCACATCTGGAGGGCAGAGCCAAATTGTAGGAAAACTGAGAGTAACCTGCCATCGTTGAACTCCAAACTTTTTCTGCTGTTGAGCACACTTAACTCAGCCTTCACTCATCAATTCTTAAACTCAACCTGATCAGAGCCCCACCTGAGTCCAGCCAAGTTTCCATGAATGTCTGATGAGCAGGTTTGGGTGGGCCTATAATTGGCATTTCTAAGGACTCTCAGGTGAGGCTGCAGCAACTTGGTCTCACTCATCTCCCAGCACTCCATCCTAAACACTGGCACGTAACTGCAGCCTCCCAAAAAGCCTGAGGCAACCTACTTATCCTTATGTCAGTGAGGGGAAGATTGAACCCAGAGAGGTGAGGGTAATTGCTCAAGGTCATGAACCAAGATGACAGCCCATGACTGTGACTACAAAGTCAGTGCTCTTTCAAAGTCCTTTAAAAAAAAATATTTATTTATACATACAAGGACTGGGGTATAGGTCAGAGGTGTGTGTGTGTTTGGGGGGGGGGGTCAGAGGATTCACCACAGACAGAGTGGGGAGCAGAACAGGCCGATTGACTGAAATATACTGTTGAGGGGATCAACAGGCAAGTCAGGAGAGGTCTGCTGCACCCTGTGGGTCACCTCTCTGGCGGGGGATCGAACTCGTGCTTCAGTGGCTGCTGATAGCTTCATAGGTTGCATCTTTTCAACAAATGTTGCTGGAACAACTAGACATCCACATGCAAGAAAATGAATCAGACAGAGACATTACACCACAAAAATTAATCATAAAATTCTGATCACAGACCTAAATGTAAAATGTAAAGTATACACTCTTAGAAAATAAGATAGAAAAACCCCTACATGGCTGTGTGTATGATAATGACTTTTTAGCCACCAAATACATGGTCCATGAAAACAAACAAACAAACAAAATGCATAAGTTGTAATTCACTAAAATTAAATTTTGGATCTGGTTCTATGAAAGAAAATGATAACAATAACAATGCCACAGGCTGGGAGAAAAGACTTACAAAAGACCAATTTGATAAAGAACTGTTATCTAAATGTTAAAAGAATTTTTAAAACTAAAAAAAAAAACAAAACAAAACCAAAACAACCTGATTAATAAATGGCCAAACACCTAAACATTCCCAGAGAAGATAAATAGATGGTAAATAAGAACAAAAAATGCACCACAGGTAGGTCATCTGGAAGGAAAATTAAAATAAAGAAATACAAGTATAGAACTGTTTGAATGGCCAGAAGAACTGTTTGAATGGCCAGAATCCAGACACTGAAAACACCAAATAATGAAAAGCATGTGGACCAAAATAAGCACTCATGAATTCCTAGTAACTGGAACCAGGTGAAGTTCACATTCTCGTGTAGGTAAAAGCAACACTTCCCAACCCCATGTGATGTACACGCTGTCATATAGATGGGAATACCCTATGTGATGCACATGTTGTGTTGTAGATGAGACTATCCCACCTGTTGGACACACTGTGATGCGGGTGAGTATGTACACACTGAAGTAAATGAAAGTGATAACACTCCACGTAATAGACTAGACAATGTGATGTGGGAGTCTGACCCCACAGGGTCCTTGCCCTTGCAGGTCAGAGAATTAGCAAAGTTGTATAACCTCACGTCTGGTGGACATGAGTAGAACATATTGTTGCTGTGGGAGTGATCATGATTCATGGGATCTGCTCCACAGGATGAGATTCGGAGAGGGAGATCACAAATATTTGATGTTAGTTGACAGACTGTAGGGTAAGGTAAAAAATCATTTTCTGCCCTCCCACCATCAGGATAGATGAGGGAACCCTGTGATCCTGAATGCATGCCTGATGGCGGGCACCTGGAGTGGGTACACCTGGGCTAAGACTGTGCTTTTAAGGGCGGCGTCACGGGGACGCCAGAAGAAGCCGAAAGTGAAGCCGAGAAAGAAGTAGCAGAAGCCGAGAGAGAAGCAGAGAAGGCCAGAGAGCCCAGATAGAGTGAAGACTTGCTGGGGGCTGGGAGGACTGCCAGCCTCCCGGCCCCCCAGCACCCCTGCCTGCCATATGCCTGGTGAACCCCAATAAAAGACCTGCAAAAAATCGCTGAGGACTCTGACTCCTCCTTTACCAGGTCTGCATGGGATCAGAAAACCTGCCCTGTGTCCATTCCTGACCCTTGCACAGACCTATAGATACACTGAGTCTTATGTGCAGGGAGCAACCCCAGGACAGGCATGAACCTGTCCAATGATCAGAAGCATGGACATTCTTGGGGGAAGTCAAAGGGCCAATCTGATGCACTAGTTTTTTTTCCTCATCAACCATGTAATGAAACCACTGACCTCATCTCCAAAAAATTATCACGAATGCTTATCCAAACAGCATTATGCTTAACACAGTGGGGAACTCATGAGTTTCCTTCAGCCCATTAGGGACCCAGGGCAGACTCTTTGTTACATTGTCCTCATTCACAAATGGGGCAATGTAGAGTTGAATAAATTACCTGTACAATTTCTTCTGAGTGTGAGCAGTAGAACTGAGCCCAAGGGGCTCATATCTCTTGGCTCCATCAGAGTTGCCCCCATACCAAGCTTAATGGTGTTTGGTTAAGCATTCATGATATTCTTGGAGATGAGGTCATTGGTTTCATTACATGGTTGATGAGAAAAAAACTACTGCATCAGGCATCCTACCCCACCAAACTGTAGCGATGACTGTTCTCTCCAATCCCCACTGCATTTTTCTTGAGCTTCTGATGGGGTGGTTTGGAGTAAGAGTAGGAATGGAAAGATTTCCTAAGCCAGTAGTGTCAAACTTGTGTGAGCATCAGGCTGTCCTGGAGAATTTGGGGGAACACAAAAGCCCAGGTCCCACTGCATAGGTTCTGAGTCAGGTGTCTGGGGGCGGGGATCAGGAATGTTCATTTCTACTTAAGCCCCAGGTGGTGTGAGCTTGGTCCACACCATGATACTTGAGTCCCACAGTTGAAGCCAAAGAAGGACAAGGGAGGGAACACATTTGAGTACTATCCAGTGCTTGGTCAAATTTGAAAGCAGGGTGGGTGGTCTGCCATCCCTGGTCTTTGCAGGGGGCTCTCATTCCCTGGCCCCCAGTGTTGCTGTTTGAGCTCTTGTGTTTAGGATCCGGCTGTGCTGACGTGACAGGAGCCACATTACTTCTCCACTCTGATCAGTGGGGGAGTAGGTGTGCCTTCAGTTTGCAGAGCGGCACTCTTCATGGCCCAAGAAACAGGGCAGTGGGCCAGGCCTTTGCAAGGATTTACATCATTCCCGGTGTTGATCAGGGAACATGACAACACATCTTTTTGTTTTTCTCCCCAGGCTAAAAACAACTTCCCTTCAGAGGGTCCCCTGGATTGCAGCGTTTTTTCCCTTTGAAAGTTTGACTTTGCCCTTGACCCTTGCATTGTTTTTCAGAGACAGATTGCCCAATTTTCCGACTGCTGGTGAGTAAGCAGCATGCTGCATGAGCACAGAACTGGACAAAGCAGTTGATGGAAGCCGCTCTGTGGCTTTATTACCCAGAGAGTCTCTAATCTCTGACCACAGCCCCCCTGAAGCTTATATTGGTTGATGGCCGTAAGTCACATTTATTCAGGGCCGAATTGTGCCAGGCACTGCACTAACCCATTGTACAGGTGAGGGAACGGAGGTCAAGAAAGGGACTAGAACGTGACGGGGCATAGAAACCCAAGATGCCCACGAGGCGGTCTTGTTGAGGAGCCCTGTGCTGCTGCCACCAACCAACTTCTACTGCACATCATGGGTGAAGAAAACTCTCAGAGCCGGGTTCTTCAGACCATGCTGTACTCTAAATTCCTGCAACCAAAAGCAGATACGTTCTGAAGTGTCATAAAATAATCGACAAAGATGTTGTGTGGCCTCTGGGATGATAGGGTGTCTCCCTAGACTTTGTGCCATATGCTCTGCTTTCGAAAATGCAAAGTTGTCCTCTGCAGGCAGATCACTTACAGTGGGGATCAGGAGTTGGGATCCCTGTGTTGCTGGGACTCTGCTCATTTAATGCTTTTATTGGTTGTTTTTGTTTGGCTCACTGATAGGACACAAAATCTCTATCCTGCATAGAAAATGTCCAATATGTACCTTTCAACCTCGCTTCCCCTAATTCCCCTGCACTCACAGACAATTTTGACCCTCTCAGATGCCAATATGGTTTAGCAGGAAGGGCAAAAGCTTTGATTCAGGCAAAGCTGGGTAAACTGCCCACCGGTAGTGATATTAACCTTACATGATAATGGAAGGGGCCTCTGGCAACTTTGGGGAGCACATCTTGGTGCCAAAATATGTTTATCAAACTCTGACTGACTGCTCCACCTCACCCCCACACATGTGTTGCTCCATATCCTGGGTCCTGCTGCACCAGCTCCTGGATTCTACAGTCACTGCCAGACAGACAGGGGTACCCATCAGTGACCTGTGTATGGTGAGGGACAGGGGTTACCCACCTACTTGGGGGGACACCCAGAGGTTAGTACAGGTCATGTAGCTCTTCTTCATGATCTAGTGAGCCTCATGCTTTAGGAACAAAGCAGGCACTTCAGTCTACCTGGGAGCCACCAGGAGGGCTCCTCAGGGGAGAGGGCAGACAGCTGAGTCCCAAGGGATGGAGAAGGAGGAGATGGAATTCTGAGGGGGTGGGAAGAAGTAGTGCCAATGCCTTAAAGACTAGGTAGAGACTCTGCAAGGGCCTGAGCCTTTGGGTTCTCACAGGCCCCTTGGAGACTACTCATGCGGCCTTTACACTGTTACTCAATGGCTCACGGAGACACACCAGACCTCATCTAAGACTCCTAGCCTTCCCTCTGTCTCTGTTCCAGCTGGCCCCTTGATGGTTCTGGCCGCAGAGACTCCTGTTCTGGCATTCTTCTTGCCACCCCACGGTTCCCGTCTCTCTGCATGGTGTCTATCACAGCTACATTTCATTTGTGGCAATATTTGCTGATTGTTTCTCTCCCTCTTGCTCTTTGAGGGAAGGATTACGTGTCCTGTGTGGCTGACCCTAGGCCTTGTGTTGTGTCTGGCCGAGGCGAGGGCCTGTCTGGTTGGTGGTTCTGTCTGACCTGAAGGGATGCCAGGGTGAGGGTTCTGTACTGGCCTCCAGTCTCCAGGCCTTCAGTGAACTTTCTAGGCCACTGCTCCCTCAGCCCAGCCTAAACCTCTCCAGTGGTGGCTCGCAGCCATAGTGGGGTTCATGTCCCCTCCAGGAGATTTGGATCTTTCCTCTGCTTCACCTACCCTGTTTTTTCATCTCTTGAGGGTGAAGAACTACTGTTTTTTTCCCTAACACACCACCCCTTTCCCAATCTCCCACCTACCCACTGCTGCCTCTGTACTCCTACACTGTGGGAGACCAGTCTTGGCTGGCACCTTCTCTGGGAAGTGAGACTCAAGCATCCCCTCTCTTGCTGCTCACCACTACACTTGGGACTCCTGCTGATGCACTTACCTCAGGCCAGATTGTAACTGGCCCTTGACAGAGCTGCCTCCAGCCAGACTATGTGCAGTAATTAATCTAGGCACCCTTAGCTCTCTCCCCTCACGCCCAGTGCTGTACCTGGAGTTCACTGAGTGGATGACTCCCTACTCTGCATGTCCTCCCAACTGTGTGAGGGAAAATATTACCAGACTGAAGCTGGAGACACAAACAAGGCATGGCTGGAAGGAAGAGCTCTTTGTTCTTGGGAGTGGTTGCAAGGGGGGGTCAGGATCAAGCCCCAGAAGAATGAGCTTATGAAATGGACAGAGAGATGATGGAAGTAGAGAGGCGTCGGTGACAGAGATGTGAATAGTAGACTGGGATGACAAAGTACAGAGAGATGTGGGTGATAGAGAGGTATGGCTAAAAGAGAGATATGGATGATGGAGACAAGGAAGATACAGATTATAGGGAAACTAGGGTGATAGACAGTGACGAGAGAAGTGATGGTTGACAGGGTGATAAAAATTGAGTAGATAGAATAGCAAGAAGAAAGTCAGGGAGCTGTGATAGTGATTACTTTTCCTGGCATGGAGGAGGGGGGGCAAAGCTGGAAAGTAAATAAACAGGAGTCTTTAGAGATAGATAAGTGAAAGCAGGTGAGATTAGAGGGTGCAACATGTGAGTAGGGCCCCCATTCTGGCCCAGCCTGCACCTTAGTGTTCCCAGAGCATGTGCTCCCTAACCCTTGTCTGGTTGTCCCTGGGACCAGACAGGGGTGACTGGGTGAGGCCATCAGTGGTCATCAGTGTAGGTGGCCATCAGTGGTCAGGCATTACTTCTGGGATTCAGGGTGTTCCTGGAAAGGATAGCAAGAGCAGCCACTTAGCTGGAACTAGGCCTGCAGGGGGAGGGCTGCTCACTGCACCCCCAGGATGGATTACAGATCGCCCACACAGACCTGGAGGATGGTCCTGCTCCATTTGTGTTGACAGGGTTTGGTGAAGGGAGAGCTCTCTGGGATTGGTCATGCTTTGGTTTGCTGCCTCTATGAGGCAAACAATGGAAACACAGGCTGGATGAAGGACAAGTCAGCCCTCAGGACAAGTGCACAACTGGAGGAAGTATCCAGGGCCAGGCACATAGTAGTTCCAGTGTTTATGGATGAGTCTCTCTTTCATATAGTTGTTAATCAGTGGTCACATGATTTTAAGTTGACAAAGTCAGTGAGAAAATTCAGAATCCCATTTCTTCCTTTGGAAGTGAAGTCATTTAGGGAACTATATAAAAAAGGATATTAAACAATTTCAAGCCATTGGTCTGGTCCTTAACTATACACTGAACTTTGCTCTGTAAAAATAAAGACAAACATGACTGTGAACTTCCAGCTACATTTGTTTCCCCCAATCTTATTTTGATGGTTGCCGAGGAAACACTGGGAGCAGTGACTATTTATCAATATAGCACAGGCAAAACAAAAATTATGTAATTGTTCAAGGCTAGCATCAGTGAAATGACTGGAAAATGAATTAGTTAATTAATTCCAAATTGGTTAGTCTTTGGTTAGTAAAAAGCCAGTTATAATAAATAATGTAGTATTTACTAGATACTGTAATTCCAGAATGATGAAAAAAGAGTATACAAGAGTATACAGTGTCTTTCCCTAAGACCTAATTTCACATTCCCCACAAGCCAAGTAAACATTGCTACTGGTTTCTTGTTTTCTTCCCCAGGTATTAAATAAATGTGACATATATTCACATTAGTTTGTGTATACAAGCAATAACATAGTCTGTACCTTCTTGGTTTTTCACTTTACTTGGAATTTTTACTTAGTTTGCATAACTTTACTGATCCTAGAGATTTTTCTTTCTCAGTGAAAAAAAGCTTCCTCTTTCTTGTTAATCGTTGCGTAGTTTCCAGGAAACAGATGCCCAGAGGTCCTTCCAGGATGGGGACCAGCCCATTCCTCACTGACTTTAAAGTCACATTAGCATTTGTAGGCTATCCAAGAAAGAGGAACTGTAATTAAAGAGGACACCTTGGTAATTGACTCCTGATAAAAATTTGCCCTGAGCCAGAAAGTCAGAAGTCCCAGGTCTGGGCTCCATTCTGCAGCCATGACCCTGCCTCTTGAGAGGACCCTGCTGAGCCCCCTCTTCTGTGGCAGCAGTTAGCAAGGCTTGTCCCTGGGGGTGGTTGTGAGCTGGGCATCAGGCCTGGGACCAACCGCCCATCTCCCTGTCTCTTTCCCGGGAAAGGGTGCATTCCGTTCAGTTCAGTTAAGTGGGGATGGGACTTCTTCTTGCAGAGAGGGAAGCAGTTCTGTGCCACTGTGCTTTGTCACTGTGAACAGCCAGGACTAGGGGAGACCTGGGTTCCAAACTTCTCTTCCTGCTTAGATCTTGGTTTTTCAGTTTGAAAACTGGCCAGTTCTTTGCTGGCGCCCAGCTATTCCCTCGGGCTTTCCCGGGGTGAGGCGAGGAGTGCTGGCATGTGGGGGTAGCTGGCATGTGGCTGTAGCTGCCGTGGTGAACGAGAGAAGCCAGAGCCAGGCGCGCATCAGTCTACCTGACCACGCGCTCCTGGCTAGAATTGCACTTTGTTTGGCTCCACGTCGGAACCGGTAACTACAGGACAAACAGTCTGAAACCTGGACGTTTACCCTCCTTCCACCCACGGTTTGCGCAGGGCCTAGGGTACACCAACAAAACAAACTTATTTTGAACACTCGGCAGCGAGCTTGCAGCGCTGCCAATCATTAACCGGGGGTTCAAGCGGTGCCGTCTGAAACCCTTCATAAGGCTCCCGCAGGGCCCAGCGAGCATAGGCCAACGTGCCACCTCAACCACCAGACGAGCATTGACTTCTGTCTGCCACCTCCGCTCGGCGATGCCCAAGGTTCCCGCTGCCCGCGCTTGGCCGCTTCTGCTCCTGCTCGCCATCCAACTCTGCGTGGCCACCGACGTTCCCCAGCCTTGGCGTTGCGCCCCCTGCTCCGCTGAGAAGCTCGCACTCTGCCCGCCGGTGCCTGCCTCATGCAGTGAGCCCACCCGTCCTGCTGGCTGTGGCTGCTGCCCGACTTGCGCTCTGCAGCTGGGCGCGGCCTGTGGTGTGGCCACTGCACGCTGTGCCCGCGGGCTCAGCTGCCGCGCACTGCCAGGGGAGCCAAGGCCCCTGCATGCCCTCACCCGTGGCCAGGGCGCCTGCATGCCTGAGTCCGATGCTGTGCCCAGCGCTGAGGACACAGGTAACACCATATTCCCCACCTCAGCACTCTTTGGGACAGATGAATGGGAGGGGGACTGGGTAGGCCAGGAGCTCAACACAAACCTACAATTGGTGAGGTTCAAACCCTTTGCAGCCAAAGCCTATGGTCAGAGTCAGCAGAGGCTTTAGACCACCTAAGTGAGCCTTCTTTGCAGAGTCCTGCAGGACACACCCAGAAGGGAGAGATTTGGGGGCTCACACAACTGGGGAGGAAATTTGCGACAGAGGCCATTCCCAGGACCCCACAACTCACTGGCTTATAGAAATCCAGAGTACAAGAGAGGAGGGAGGCCACAGGGATGTCCCAGGCAGGGGGGATGCCAGCCTGGTGCCTCTGCTCCTCCTTTCAGCAGGTGAAATTGTGGTGCCAGTGGCTGTCGCCTCTGGAGGGATTTGGTATGGGAATCCTTCCTGCTAGCCTCCAGGGAAGTGTTTGCAATGTCCTTTGTAATACATGTCCTGGAGACAATATGTGTTCCCCAGGTGTTTACAGAACATAATGTGAGAGTTTAGGCTGAAAATTTCACTTGCATTCATAGCCATAGAAAAGTAGTGTTTGATGTGTATGTTGATATCAAGAACTTGACAATCAGGACTTTCCTGAATTTAGCAGTGATTTATTTGTAGTGTGAAGAAGAGGAAATACATCTTCCCCAACTCCCTCTCCTACATCCTGTATGACTCTTGGAAGAATCTTGTGGTATCCCTAAGATAGGAATCTGTTGGAGCCCTCCCAAGGGGGACACAGTTTTCCTGCTGGTCCTCTACCTTCAGAGTAAATGAAATGCGGTCATCTTGATGGTTTGCAAAGGAGATGGCTTCCTGATGGGGTGTTCAGGAGAGTCAGTGCTTTATGATTCTGTCTATGCACCAGATCCAGATCCTAGGATTCTCTATCTGGTGACTTTACCTACTCTTACAGGGGTTTAGAAGAAGTCACACAGAGCTCTTGGGTAGAAGGGTTAGTGCTGCTATCTAGACCTGCTTCTGAACGAACCTAGCATGTGTTCATAGGGTATTACTAAACTGTCCATTTTATGTATGGGAAAGCTGAGGATGGGGTCAGGAATTAAACTGTAATTTGTGACTTTTTAAGGGCTCTTCTCAGACCTCAACATATGTGCATGTACTCCTCCTGCTGCTCGATAAGTAAAAACAGGACACCCTTGCCAAACCTAAAACTGAACTATTATGTTGGGTCATCTCTCTTCCTTAAAACTACCAGATGTCCCTTTGAAGAGGGAATTGGAAAAACTCTGGGTCAACATGACCATCTTTTATGTCCTAACCTGGTTTTGTGGGAAGGGAAATAACCTCAGGAAAGACCAGCACAGGTGCTTGTAGAAGGGCTCATTGTCTATGGCACTCCTTTTCCAGATACAAAGGACTCTGCCAACCTGGAGAGTGCAGCCCCCGAGAGCTCAGAGATGACCCAGGAACAGCTCCTGCATAGTTTCCACCTCATGGCTCCATCCGGCGAGGATGTGTCCATTCTCTGGAATGCCATCAGCAATTATGAAAGCATGAGGGCTCGAGGGATTGCCAGCATCAAAAAGTGGAAGGTGAGGCCCTGCGGTTGGTGGGAACCAGCTCCTGTTGGAGCCTCTAGCTATGGCATGCAGAAGCAGAGGGTGGGGAATGGGGTCCTCCCTAGTCCTGGAGACCAGGAAACAAACATTCCTTCCAATGCCTAATGAATGTTTCTTAGCCTAGCTTCATCAAGTTTTTCACACAGGGCACCCAAGGGATGGAAAGTCAATCCAGTTCCTGCTGCAGAATTGTAGATATGTGACTCTGACTAGTGTCAGACTAGATATGTCTAAAGAGCATTGAGTTATACTCTTTGAAGGCTTAGCACAAGAACTTATAACTGCCTCCTCTATCACTTTTCTTGCCCTTTAAAAATTGTGGTAAAATAGATATAACATATATTTTGGCATTCTAATCATTTTAAAGTATAAAGTGCCATGGCATTAAGTATTTTCACATTTTTCTGCAACCTCTACCACTGCCCATCTCCAGAACATTTTCGTCATCCCGAATTAGAGCTCTAGCCTTTGAACAGGACTCACCTAGACATCTTAGTTGATGTCCACTTGAGGGCGACAAAGAATCAAAATTGGAGGGTCTGCTCTCCGAGCCTTTACAAAACCTCTTCCATCAGTGTTTATTAGGTTGATAATTCACTTTTTGTTGCCACTTATTCCCATATCAAATTACTCTTTCAGGAGCCTTGCCAGCGAGAACTCTATAAAGTAATGGACAGACTAGCCAAGGAACAGCAGAAGGCAGGAGATGAACTTTACAAATTTTATCTGCCAAACTGCAATAAGCATGGATTTTATCACAGCAAACAGGTATGTGTCCTGCCAATGTGTGTACCACTGCTGTCCACATTCCTGCAAAGCCATGCTGTTTTTAAAAGGGAGTTCATTCCCGGAAAAGCTCCATTAAGTCCAAAATTGATCATATTAAGTAAGATCTACCTCTTTGGGACTAGGAGCACCTAGCCTTCAGTGTCCTTAAGACCAGGTCAGTGTTTCATGGCCAGCAGAGGACATTGTACTCAGCACTGGATTGCTCCATCACTTAACAAGCCTGAGGGGGATTTCCAGACCCTTCAAGTCCTGGATCTTAGGGTTTCATCTGTAACATGAGAGGAGCACACAGCTCTACTTAGGAAGGCTAGTATCTGTTTAAACATCTTTTATTTCTTTTTTTTTCCCTATAAAGGGAAATAAACACCATAGTATAATAAAGTACAGGTTTTAGACTTGTGAGATAGTAAATGATATTAGACACACTATGACTTTGGACTCCGTGAAGCACAGGTAGTATGGATATTCTCAGGAGAATTGAGGACTAGGAGGTGCTATGTGTATAACAGACAAGGAATTTGTTGAGGAATGGGAAGCCATGACAGGGCTTTCTTCCTCCGGGCTCTCCAGCTCTGCTGTCAGGACCATGGAGCAGGTAGCTCTGCCCACGCTGCGTGGTTTCTCACACTCTCGTGAAATTATTATTGCACAGGACACTCTATCTTTATCTCCATTTTTGGAGTAGAACCAGAAGGGTGTTGGATTGATCCTCGATCATGGCCAGCTGGGTGGCATGAAGCTTCACCTGCTCCCCAGTTTCATGTATCTGTTCTTGACTATTTGTCTTGTCTTTGCAGTGTGAGACATCCCTGGAAGGTGAGCCAGGGCTCTGCTGGTGTGTCTACCCCTGGAGTGGAAAGAAGATCCCAGGGACTGTGGAGATTAGAGGGGACCCCAACTGCCATCAGTATTTCAACTCACAGAACTGAACACAGATGTATAGGATCTATTTCTTCACATGAACTATTTAAGTATATAGTGTATTTATACTTTTGAACACACATACACTTATATATATTTATACATATGAACCACTTTTTATACTCCACATATTACTTGATACATAAAGCTGTAGTTTATTTATTCACTGTAAGTTTATTTTTTTCTACACAGTAACTTGTGTTATATATTAATTTATGTACCATGAAACTCTTTTCATTATGTTGTATGTGAAAAATACTTGTACTTTAGCTCTTCAAAGTTTTGTGCTTCTGTTTTTAAAGAACAGAAAATGCAAAATCACATGTACAGCAGTGATTTTTTTTCAAGAGGCTTAATGGAAGACAGTTAAGCCATGCTGGCAAATGATTTAGTCTGTATATTCCGGGCATCCATGTTTGGTATAAATTTGCAGGGTAAGTTAAATGTTGATTATAAATAAATGTTGATTATAATAAAGCTAGACATGGTAATGTTGCTTAATGTTAAAACACACAATGGATGGTCAGACATACAGTGCAAATGTATTTGGAATAAATATTCCACATGGGAACATTGTCATGGCTGTGGACATTTGTTGGACATATCACATTCTTTGTTTCTGAAATCACTCTCTGGTCTCCTGCAGCCTTGGTATTTCAAGTCTGCAGGCTCCTCATCATCACTGCTGGAGGGACTTCCCTGAAGTGGTGTCAAGGCCCAGGCTGCTGTCCCCTCCCACCCCTTGTGAACTTCCTCTTGATTATCCCCTTCTCTTCCACCTGTAAACAAGAGGGGGATTCCCCCACCTTACCCATGAGACAGACGCTCTTCCTCAATTTACTCCCTCTCCTGTCCCCCACTCTGCCATCCAGTCTCTGTCCTCTACGGGGTTTGAGTTAGACACTTCAGGCCAGCATGCTGCTTGCCTCTTCTGTTTGAATGGCTAAACCCTAAGTGTGTGAGTCAGCTTTGCATTTTGGTTCCTTTGTCCTTAAACTGAAACCTGCTTTTCCTGATGCTGCCCCCTTCCTCCTGTCCCCTAACTCCTGGTTCTCACCCACCCTGCTCACCATTCCTTCCATCTCTTCCCTGCTTGGCTATTTTGCCCATTCCGGAGGATCCCATCCCTGCCTCTTGATTACCTCCAGCTCATGTATCAGATACATGAGAAAAACCCCTACTTCTCATCTCCCCGGGTCACTTCTGTTATATCACTTGGCCCCTCCCCTCAGTACTGGCTTGGGGGCCTCCACCCCTTCTCTGGTGTGGGTTCCAGTTACCCATCTTGGGTGTCTCCCTTCACTTTTTGACCTCATGACTGCCGTCCACTCTCTGCCAAGTCCCCAGGACCCCACTGTGAAATCAGTCTTTAAATCTTTCCTCTAAAGAGCAGCGACCATATTAATGTGGGAAAGTAATAGCTTTAGCCCAGCCTAATAAAAATAACCATATGGACATGTCATCTCCAGCTCCTCCCAAAATGCAATGGGGTGTTTCCATCCTACCCAGGAGCTGTATTTCCACCCTAGCCCACACTGCCGAGGGCCCAGGGGTTCGTACAGCACATGTTCTCAGGTTCAGTACTTGGGAATGGAGCTGAGGACGATGAACTTCCCTTCCCAAGATGAGCTGGAGGCAAGTTCAGGCCAAATATATATCTGACAGGAGTCTAAACTTGAAGTTACCAGCTCAGCAATATCTATAATGAGTTCTCATGGATCCCAGTTGTACTTGGGGTCTGTCTTCATTTTGATCAAGGCAAGATCGAATGGTAAATCAAAAGTATCAGTTAAACTAGAAAATAATTTTTAAAAGAAACCCAACATCTTCATAATAAAATGCTGTATTTTAATCAAAAAAATGGCATCTGTAAGTACATGTTGGCCTCGATGAAGGTCTCATCCTGGTCCATTCTCAAAGGTATAGAGTCTCTAGTGAATCAATCATAACCCGAGATACCATCTCATATTTCTAGTTCTGATTTCTTTAAATGAATCAGGGGTTTATGGGCAATCTGAACTGATCAGGCCTTCACAATTCCAATGCCCATCCCATCTTTTATTGTTACTGGCTCTAGATTTGCCAGCAACTCTTAGTAGCTCCCTTGTTCAATTCCATCATGGGCAGGACAACTCTTTCTGTTCACACATACCTGTCATACATTTATTTTTAAGAACATAGTTACAACAGCAAGTGCACACAGAGCAGGGGGAATGGGATTCTCTGGGTACAGTTCACCATAGATCTGAAGAACAGGACTCAGACTCAGAGTAGATAGTACAGCGGAAGAGATGCTGTAACAGGACCAGCAAACCCTTTCCCTGAGAAACGGTGGGAGCATCTTTATGTTATTAACATGATGATGTCTGTGGCTCTGTCTCCCTCTGAGCTTTATGTGTATTACCTTGTGTAGTCCTTACAATGCACTGGAAAGTAGGTCCAAGTTCTAGTTAAGTGACAAGGGGATACACAGGGACCCCAAACTGTTAAGGGGTACACATTCTGAAAGAGTCTAGCCATCCACTTGCCCAAAGGCAAAAAAAGCATACTCTTACTGTGAAAGATAGAATTATTGTGCATAGAGAAAGAGAGAGAAGGAAGGATTTCAAGTAAGAGATTCCCAGTAAAACTCCAAAAATTATCTATCCCCTCATGGGCAAAGACTCAGTCAGCCTTGGTCCAAAACTGGGTAGCTGAGGTTGAAAGCTTGTCACAAGTCTAAGATACTTTCTGGCAGGGAACTACAGGAAAGGGGTTAGACAGGTCTGGTACAGAAGGAAAGACCAGAAATGTGCCATATAATCCACCAGGAGGTCAAATTAATAGTTGCCGTTGTCTCTGCCAAGGAGCAGAAGGAGCCTCTCCGGGTATCTCTTACCCATGTTTGTCTTCCAAGTGTCTCTCCTCCATATGTCTCCTCCAATGTCTCTCACAGGCATCCCCCCTCCTCTTTCACTCCACCTCCAATGTATATCCACCTTGCTCATTCCCAGTTGTCCCCCATTCAGCATGACATGCTGGGAATTGTAGTTCAAGGCAGCTGCATTTAAGTGTATTTAAATGGGGTGAGGAAAAGGCACCAATTCACTGCACTATGGCGATCCTTCCTCTTTCAAGGACTCATTCTGTAACAGAATTAATCCCTTTTTCTGTCATTCCACAATACTGGTTTTTGTACTCTCACTTCTGTGGTCTAAATGGAGAAAGTAATCCCCTATTTCCTAGTTTGGGAAATTAGCCTTCACTAAAATCAATATGAGACAGCTAAAACAGCAATGAGAGGAGATTTATACTTTAAATGCTCCTGTCCAAAACAAAATGATCTCAAACAAGAAACCCAGGACACTGGAAAAGGAACAGAAAAATAGCCCTGAAGCAAAAAGAAGGAAGGAAATAAAAAAGATTAGAGTAGAAATGAATGATGAAATAAAGATTGGCAATAGAATATATCTATCAAAACAAACGATTGGTTTTTGAAATGGTCAACGCAGTTAACACACCTTTAACAATATTGACCATGAAAATAGAAACACTAAAATAACAAGATTCAGAAAGAGGGAACATTACTAGTGATTTCACTGAAATAAAATCATTATAAAGAAGTAGTATGAATAATTATACAACAACAAATTGATGACTAATATGAAATGGAAACATTTCTTTTTTATATATTTATTTTTTTCTTAAGTTATATATATTTTACATCATTGTTCACTTTTTAAATGATTTATTTTATGTATGCATACAAGAACTGGGGTACAGGCCAGAGGTGTGGGGGTGAGAGGATTCACCAGAGAGTGTGGGGAACAGAACAGGCAGATGTACTGAAAAACACTGCTGAGGGGAGCTGCTGGTGAGACAGGAGAGGTCTGCTGCACCATGTAAGTTGCTCCCTGGCCAGCCAGCTGGGATGGGGATGCAGTGGCTACCAATAGCTTGATAGTGCTGTCTTTAACCCCTGTGCCACCAGGAGGCCCTCATTGTTCATTTTTAGGCAATGTTTGCTTTCTTTTCTTAGGAGTAGTCCCCATATAATTTCTACTACCAATTCACCTGTGCACCACAGTCACCTAGAAACACACAAGCCACTAAAACTGACATGAGAACTAGATAATCTGACTAGATCTATAAAAAGTGAAACAATTAAATTAGTAGTAATAATAATTGAGTAATATTAATAAAACACCCATGAAGAAAAGTCCAGGCTCAAATGGCTTAACTGGTGATTTCTGTCAAACATTTAAAGAATTAATACCATATCCCCACAAATTCTTCCAAAAGTAGAAGATGGGAGAACACTTTCCAATTCATTTTATGAGGCTATCTTTAGTTTTACCCTGCTTCTAAATCATCACAAAACATCACAAGAAAAGAAAAACAATGGATAAATATCTCTTACGAATATAAACATGAAACCCTTATCAAAATATTAGCTAACTGAATGCAGCAACATATAAAAATAATCATTCACCATGACCAGTTGAAATTTATGCTAGGAATTCAAGGTTCTTTTAAGGTCCTAAATCAATTAATGTAAAAAAAATCATATCAATAGAATTAAAAAAAATGATCTCAATAGACCCAGAAAAACATCGATAAGCTCCAATATACTTTTATAATTAAAAAATAAAAAGTAGGGCCTCCCTGGTGGCGCAGCGGTTGAGCGCTGGGTTGCGAAGCTGCCCGCAGCCTCTGCAGCGCCCGTTCGATCCCCGGCTGCTCCCCTGCCACTGGAGGAGGGTCCCGCATGGCGCACAGACCTCTCCTGCTGCCCGCTGCTCCCCTCAGCAGTGTACTTCGGTCCTTCTGTCTGTTCTGCTCCCCGCTCTGGATCTGGTGAATTCTCTCACCCTCCTGCGCTTCTGACTGTACCCAGTGCTTGTATAAATAAATAAATAAATAAATAAATCTTTAAAAAATAAATAAATAAATGAAAACTAGCTAGAATAGAAAGAAACTCCTTTAAGCTGGCAAGGGAATTCTAGCAAAACCTAACAGCTAACATCAT